ATTTTACTCCTAATAAAACAATATACTATTTTCAACCAGAAAACTTTACATTACTTATGCGAAATGCTAATAATGACCTACGACTGTCTGAAAACCAGTAAAGAAAAACGCCAGAATATTAATTCAAACTGGAGAGACGAAGAAAGAAGAGACAATGGTGGCAAATTCAATTTTCTGTGACAGCTGAACAGGACCGAACTTTGCCGGTTCTGGGGCCATCGGGGGCCTCAAAAAACAAGTTAATTAAAAAGTGACGCGCGCTATTTTCGCCCTGGAACGTCTCCAGATGGAGCCCGGTGCCGAGATTTATGCGTCGCCAAAGTTTTCCAAGAAATTAGCGATCGTGTTCGAGAACTGCGACCAAAAGCGCAAGGAAAACTTGACCGTTTAGCATATTTACAGTCCTTTCTTGATTAAGTCGATGTAGTTTTTAAGCTTTTTATTTTAAGGCCTTCTCCATCAAGAAATGAAGCAGATCTTATACTGCTTACATACATGTATTGATTTCTCCAAAAAATCCTATTTGGGTATTTAGCCACTGCAAGGAAATCTACAAAATAAAATAGTTATTTTTTGTAAACGTTTCTGCGTTAATCCAAACGGAAACTATTTGTCGGAAGTTAGGTTTACAGATATACAAATTTGCCTAACGAACAAAAAAATGCTTAACGTTTCGGAAAGTTTATCTCTTTCCGTCGTCGGAAGCAAAAAAATACAAAGAATAAAGAAAAAAACCATTTAAAATATTTAAATTCAACTATTCGAGAAAACTTTAGTTTTTTTTTAAACAGATACGTCTACAAAAACCGTTGACGTTCTGTTAAAATGACATTATATCAAGTTAAACTTCAAAATTAACAATTTCTTACTACCTGATAACAATTACTTAATAAGGTAAAACCAAAAAGCCCCAAAGTTTCTGTATGATTATTTTTAATTTTTACGTATGTTATGTTTTTTAAAATCAAAGAAGCGATTGCCATACATTACTAATATCTACAGATGCATAAGCAATACATTTAATTTTATTAGATTGTATTAAAAAAGCCTCTTTTAGGCAAATTTGTTTTATTAGTAAACTACTTTAACAGTAACTTTTACAGTATTAATTTTGAAATTTTGAAATAAACATCTTACTGTAAATATCTGTTAAATAGTCCATAAGCATCACCAGCAGATGATTATAAACTAAAGTACAATCTACAAGTTGAGCGTTTATATACTCGCCCAGTAGGTACCGAGTGGGCGTGGCAAAATCTAACCAACCGAGTCAGAGCCAACTGAGCGTAACAGTTAATTTCCGCCACTAGAGTAGTAGGAACAAAGAACTTGAAGGAATTGGACCGTTGACTCTGTTCATACCTATCTTTACATTTATTAATTCTGATGCTTTCATATGCATCTAATTGCCTATAATTTGAGACTTGTTTAATTAATTTTAAATTATTAAGATCTATACAATGTTCTTTATCAACAATATGTTCGGCAACGCAAGAATTTATCCTGTGATTCATATCTTATCTGAGCTAAATGTTCTTTAAATCTAGTTAATATCGATCTTCTAGTTTGCCCAACATATTTCTGATTACAATTTTGGGTAGAAATTTCATAAATACCCGACCTTTCAGTGGAGGTGTTTTTATCCTATGGATTACCTAATAATTGTTGTAATTTATTATTACACTATACACAAGTTTATAATTAACATTCTTAAAATTCCTTTTAGACCGACGGATAACTTTTTTCAAACGGTATTGAAAAATATTTAGACGTATCTTTAAAATGACACTTGAAAAAATTTTCAGAAACTACCTTAACATATACCTATAAGTTTTCTAATTAATTTATCAACTAGTGATTACTTTTATCCATTACACTCCGCTACATTCCTAATGTAATCTCTTTCTATTTCATATCTTTCGTTGGAAAGTGGGAAACTAAGTAATCTATGAACTAAGAAATTTAAACTAGCCATTTTATGTTAAAAAAAGCCTTTTTTATTTTTCTTTTAGAGGCTATCGCTCCTTTCATTATAATTTTGGCGTTATTAAAATTTATTCTGTGCCCTGTGTCCCAGGAATGCTGACAAATCTTAGATTTGTGAAAATCTCCCTTTCTTAAATAATCTTTATATTCTTTAATCCGAACATTTGAGGGTTTATATCAATTTGGGAAAAATTATATTTCAGTCAATTTGATGTAAATCCAAGGGAATCGTTCACGTATACGTCGACCTAGGGATGTTCTTATAATAAACATTATTAATTAAAACAATTAAAATCAGGGCCCTAATTCTGTAACTTACAAAACGCTAAGCGCTTTTAGACGCTCAGCAACCAAACTCGCAACAACAATACTTTTTTTCTTTTTTTTTGTGTTTTTTTTTGCTTCCCAAAACTTCCCGAAACGTTAAGCATTTTTTTGTCCGTTAGGCAAATTTGTTTTATTAGTAAACTACTTTAACAGTAACTTTTACAGTATTAATTTTGAAATTCTGAAATAAACATCTTACTGTAAATATCTGCTAAATAGTCCATAAGCTAAATAATGGAAATAGTTTAGAAGTTAAAGCCTACTTTGTTGACGCATGGTACAAAGAATACAAGGTATGATATTGCGCAGGTTGGTCGCTACGTCACAGGTGATAACTGGCGCTATTGGTCAGCACGCTCCGCGCGCCAATTCAAATCGTCAAAATATTATAATAAACCTGTTTTTTTGTTTATATACCGTCATTGAATTATCGCTAAGCAAGTTACTGTGGAGCAGTGCGTAAAGAGTCAGGCTAGCAAGCGAGAGACCAGAGTTCGAATCTCGGCCGGGACATAAATTTTTTATTTAATTTTTTAAATACTGTTGTATTCTATAGTTTATTTTTGTAGTATAAAAAAAAGAACTATTTATTCTGTTATTTTTTAATCTCCGGTATTAATATATAAATTGATCGTTGGTACAATACCGCATTTAATATAAAATAATATTCTACATTTTGAAATATATCGGGCCCTAATTGTACCTAAAAGTAATATATTTTTACAGTGATATATGTAAACTATTTAATATTTCATTACCATATTGTAAACTATTTAATATTTCAGTCACTTAAAAAGTTAATTTGCATTGAATAATTTCCTACCATTAAAGGAAATTTGAGCTATAATCCTTGACAGGCATATTCTGGGTATGCAAATACTTCCTCTAAATTTTGGGTTTCGTTCAACCGACTTTCTCAAAACCTGAAACATCTACATATAAAAAGAAGCACAGGTCACTAATTATAATAAACTTCACCCTTGGAATTACTTCTATCACAATTACAATACATCTGCATTGGCATTTTCTACTTTTCGATGGGAAACAATCAACTTCCCAACATTTTTTAAATGATGTAACAATTCCTCTTGTTGTTACTTTTCCATAGAGCCTCATCTCTGTCCTCATGTGAATTCAGAGACAATGAACATGAACATTATTTACCACAAACATCGCAAACTAAAAACCTAATAAACAATTTTATACCGAATATAGAAATAAATTTAGTATTCTTACCTATTATCGTCCAAATCCATGTTAATAGATGATTAATATTTTGGATTTTTGTCTTTTATTTTTAAATATATTTTTGGAACTGCTGGTTTTAGTAATTATTAAATTAAATGAACTAAAAAGTCTTAAAAATAAACAATTCTTAACTATAACCCCAAAAAATACAGATCTCCTGTCAACTTTCACAATTTTTTATTTATTCCTTATTTTCCTAGTGACGTCACAGGTGGTATGCGCGAACTGAACGAAATTGGAGCCGCTATCGATCATACCCATAGATAAAAGAAAATAATCTTCTATTAAGAATCATACCTTGATTTCTTTGTACCATGTTGTTGACGTATCGGATATTACGTCAGAGATTTCTGGCCTTATTTTGTTGATGGCATTGCCCATTTTACATGGTGAATAGCTGTATTAGTAGATTAGTACCTTTGTAGCATTAGTATAAAACATTAAATGTATCAGTTTGTATTTCTAAACGTTTTATATTTGTTTAAAATAAATTAATCTAAAAATTTCTAATTTTCCTAAAATTCTTTCTAAGAAAAACAACTAATTTGAAAACTCCTTCACAAGGTAGCGTGGCCGAGCGGTCTAAGGCGCTGGTTTAAGGCACCAGTCTCTTCGGAGGCGTGGGTTCGAATCCCACCGCTGCCAACCTTTTTTAAACTTAAAAAGAGCTTTTTTTATTTTGAATTAATTATAGATAAAGTATATCACTGTGTGGTTCAGTTGTATTGTTTTTTTCCCATTTGATTTCATTAAAAAATTATTAATAATCTGCCGTTATTTTTTTGGATCGATCACACGGCAATAGAATAAAGATAAAGTTATTTACAATGGTCAATAAGTTGTAGACAGGTATAGAAAAGACACAATATTTTCTCCATCTGTTTTAAAACGTATTGTAATTAGGAAATGGCAGTTTTGTTTTTATTTTTTAACTAACAAAATTTGTTATACATATTATTATAAGTTTAGCCTAAATAAATATTTTCTGAAGCTCACTGACACTTTTTTTTAATAAAAATTACGCATTCCGTCTAAATAATATTCTTAAAAAATGTGCCTGCTATTTTTTTCTGTCATTGATTGACTAAAAATCTAGCCAATTTAATAAAAAAAAACAATAATAAAACATTTTCCAGTACAATATGTTTGTTTTTTGCTTAAGTTCAAAATTAATAGTTTTTTTTAAATTTATTTCAACTCTCACTACTGGCGCCATCTCTTGGCTAGACGCAACACCCAGCACTAAAAATCGCTCACAAATTACAGGTTTCTATAACTTTCACAGTCGCGTTTCGCCGTCTCACCGCTAGATGGCAAACAGTGCCCTTCAATGTTTTCCCTGGAGGAAAAGCCGTTCACTGCGAGAGCTGCGCAACAGTTTCGCGTCCTTGGATAAAAAGCATCCCCAATTTTTGGGGGTAGTAAGTCGGGGGAGCCAACGGGAGAGACCGGCGATTACAGAGGTCGGAAGGGACGAAGCGAAATTCGTAGAGTAAAATATAGACTTTCATTTAGTTTTGATAAGAAATCGGACAGAGGAAAATATATAAAAAATACTCGGATGTCGGTAAGGTGAGATACAAACAGGAGGAACAGCTGTTCGGGACACAAAGACAAAGCGGCAGTTTTGTGGTAAGTTGCAGAGAATGTATTTAAATTTGATTTTTGTTGAATCAAGTATAATCATCTCTTTGAGTAATAACCTATTGAAAATCTAGAATGACACCTACTACCCGTAAGTATAGTGTCATTTTATTTTTCTAAATCTATAAAAAAACATTGTGTTTTAAACTAAAGGAATATACAGAGTCCTGCAACAGTGTGTTGAGCATCTGTAGCTTCTATAATAAAAAATAGAAATTTTGTTCAAGTGCAAGTGTAAAGGATGCATTTCAAGAAAATGTTTTAACTTTTACAAGGTGGATCAAAGATTTTTTTTTAAATGGAATATCATGTATGTATATTATTTTTTCAATAGATGGAGAATTAAGAAATAAAAAAAAATTGTATTGAGAGTACCTATTTCAAAATGTTTAATGGTTTCGTAGATATTTGCGATTTTATATTTCATATGGCATTTCCCACAGTAAATTTTTATCAATAATACAATTAAATACAAAAAATTTTCAATTTTAACTCTCCATCTAATAAAAAAATAATATACAGGGAGTTCCATTTAAAAAAAAACGAAGAAAAATTATATTAGATATATTTTAGAGAGTTTGGCATGAAATTTTGAATACCCTGAAAGATTTGAGATTACGTTATATTTATAATAAAGAAAGAAAATACTAACTATAGTAAGTACCTACCTAGTATAGTTTCCATTTCAGGTCGTATTTTTTAAATAATTATTTAAAAAAAGGTTGAAAAATTATTTTCTTTGTTTATTAATTAATAACTTTGAAATTATAAAAAACAATTTTAATAATATTTTAGGAGTATGTAAAGTGTATATACAGTGTGTTTTATTTAAAAAAAAATCATCCAGATCCACTGACACTTGTTGACCTACCCTGTATTCTGTCCGGCAATACCATCAACTTTGGACGACTATTGAGCTTGAAATGCCCTGTTAGTAGATTCAACACAATTTTGACAGTCTTCCTGTGTTTGCTTATCAAGTCTGTCAATTTTGGCAGGGGTTCTACTATGCAGAGTTTCGTCTGTCTTTATCCTAGTGAATTTTTTACCATTTTTAAGACTTGTTGGACACCTATACTGTCTTTTACAGCACAGCAGAAGACTTCTGGGCCTTAAATGGCATCGATGAACCTCATTTATCTTCATTTCCAAGCCATCTTGACATACAGCATTTTAAACAAAATCATAATTTAAAATAGTCCCATAAAGCAAAAATATTATTATAAAATTTTCATCACACTGTGTGTTAGTTTCAATGGTGGTATTACTGGAAACAAAGAAACGGTTATTAAAATTATTAAAATTTAATTGAATTCATTTTATTGTACTCATTATACAGGTTGTCAAAAAAGTAGTGCACACTTTTTTTGACACCCTGTATAATCTTAATTTAAATTACTTTAAATTCAGTAAGGCAATAACATTTAATGGGGAAAATGAAATAGGTGAAAAATCATTTCATATTCATTTATATTGTTCCAAGGGTTAGTTTTATGGGATATCTAGCCTGAAATTTTAATTACCCTTTGAATATACGGGTTCATACAGTATATTTATATATCTGGGACGATTTGAATGGATCCAGCACGGCGCAGCATTTAAGCCGGGGACACACCAGATTCGGTCAGAAAGCAAATAAGGGAGGTTTATATCCGTTCCGCTGGGTGTATGCGTGTACGTGTCCATAGGCCTTAAAATATATAGAAAACTGTTTCCAGCCAATAAAACAAAGCTCATAAAAGTGTATCTTTATTTTTTTCTACCACTCAGACGATAAGACAATAAGCTTAATAACTACCCAAGTAGCATTTTCACGACTTGCGACCACATGTTTACTAAACACAACGTTGGATTAGTTACAAAAAATAGTTAGCTCCCTACCTTGGGTATTAAAATAAATTTAAACGTTTTTATAACGTTGCACCGACGTTGGACTAGTAGCTACTACAGCAAAGTAGAAGCTTCTGCGACGTCGAATAAACGTTGTCTTGTAACCTTTTTTGCTTAAGTCATCTTTAGGTGATTCGGACAACGTAGTTACAACGTTGGACAATATAGAGTTTTCCGACGTCAGTTTCAGGACCCATTCCAACGTTATGCAAACGTCGTCTGTTTTACTAATTCCAACGTTGTTTAGATTTCCTTATTCTTACGTTGGTAGGACGTCGAGTCACTACCTTTTTGCAGCTTTATTGAACCATAACCTTAAATCTTAAATTTTCACTTCATTGTTCTGTTCAGTCAGACAGTTCAGTGCTGTTTTTGTTTTTATAAAAAAAACTTAATTAAAATGGGACATAAGAAAGGTACATATAAAACTAAATTTAAATATACATCGACGTACATATATTACCGATAGTTTATCCACTCCCTCGTTTATTTAGATTATAGAGGGCGGCACAAGCTAGACTCTAGGATGACTAAATTAGGCAATCTTGCGACTGCTCGAACTACTCCATCTTAATCTCCAAAACAACAAAGTGAAAGCCGCCATGTTGTTAAATCAGTAAATGTTTCTTTCCTAAAATAGCAATTCCTGCTTTTTGAATACATTAACTTGAAATATTTGACCCTAAAAAACACGCGGAAACAATTTTTTCGACTGCGAATAAATTATTCACATTTTACTAAAAAAAAAAATTCAAGAAAATTTTTAAAACTTCTTTAATTTTAAGGCCAATTAGTATTTTTCAAAGTAGAAACAATACATTTATTAATAAAGTTGTTTGCGTTTAACTTTTTTGCCTTGGGTAACGAGTTACAGAGTCGGTTAAAGTGTTTCAATAATTATGATCTTCAAACATCCTCCACACTTAAATACTTTTGTTTTGTTTTCCTTCACTGCCATCTGACATATGTCTCTAACTAAATCATAAAAATAATATTTTTACTATAATTATCCCAATTTAGGATAAAACGCGACTTAGACGCAATATTAGTTTTGTATTTCTGTGAATTAGGATTTTAAACAACGTTGCAGTTTGTACTAAATTAGGCTTCTAACCAACGTCGGTATCCAACGTCGTTTCGACCCAAAAATTATTCTCCAAACTAGTGCAGACTAGGGTTGGCACGAGGTTGTGCCGACGTTGCGCCCCGACGTTTGGTCGCGTGACACAACGTTGTCCCGACGTCCAAATGCTGCTTGGGTACTACGTCGCCTTTCTTAAGAAGACACCTAACTAATGAAATTTTATCGTTATACAGAGTTGTTCACCACATACGACACGGAATATTGTAGCTAAACGATTAGATTTTTACAAATTGTAAATTTTGAGTTCGTTGGAGGACTATTAGAGATATGATAATGATATGGAAATGCGGCCCGGGCTCCCCGAGGGCACGGGCCCGTGTGCTTTGCACACACGGCACATTGATAGTTATGCCACTGAGTCCATCTACAAGATTGAAGCTTCGTGGTGCGGTCTCTCGCACGTCTAGAATAATAATTTGAACGGAAAACATTGACATTTTGTTAAAACCGGTGCGCCCGCCGGCATTCGCCACCGGAATAAATTAATGAAAATTATCTCAATACGATAACGCGCCTCCATAGTTCTAATTAATTAATCGGCCGCTTGGTTCGCTGATTAATTTTACAGGACCGGATAATGATGCTCTGCTTTAAATACCTTTGCGACCGGCGTTCTAGCGTTGTAAATTCTCCGAATAAATCGTTTTTAATTAGTTTGATGAATAGGTATTGTAAGGTTAAGTAAGGTATCTACCGTGCTGGTAACTGTTACTTTTGGGTCGGCATTTACATGTGTAGAAGTAAATCGCATAGGGATCTTATTAAGTCGGAGTGAGTGAAATGCGACGGTGTGCTGTTGCGTTGTTGCCGGTACGCTTTCCCCTATCAAGTAAAGTAAAATCACATATAGATAGGTGGCGTAGAGGTACAGGCTCTCGTCTACTCAAGGTAGTGGGTTCGAATCCCACACCTGACATGTCATCTGCCGACTATTTTTATTTTAAATAAAAATAGTTTGGATACCTAGGTCGTTAAAAGAGTACTTGGGATTCACGATTCTGAGGTAATAATAGGCGGTTGAAGCGTAGAGTGCTAGCCACATTACCTTCCTTGTATACCGAACGGCTCTAGTATGGCAAGCTGTACCTTGCTACTCCCAAGGCGTTAAACGCTATATACGGGATCTATTATTATTATTATTATAAACTCACGATCGCAAACCGCTTACTTTTAAGACTTGTTTTCGAAAAGGCACCTAGATAAAATCATTAGATATGTTTCTGAGCATCTGAATTGGAATTATAAGGATATCGTTAAGGTGTCCATTTTTTTATAACGAGAAAACGTCAGTAATCGCGATAATTTAGAAACTCAACTTTTTTACACATAACACGCCATAACTTAAGAACCACTTTAGATATTGAAGTTTTTTTTATTTTGAAGATCGGATCATTTACAATATGTTTACATAAGAAAAATTCGATAATAGCCAATATATGCAAGAAGCGATAAAAAATAGACATATTTTTTTTATATTCAAAACATTCAGTTTTAAGACACTCTGTATAGGCTTGGTGCATTCTCCGCCAGTGCTGCCACCGCCGCCGGAGGATATCGTAAATAACGAATACATATACAATACAAATACACGGGTTTAAATGGCGAGTAAAAAGGGAAATTAAAACAATTTTGGTTGCACGTCATCAATGACACCATGCGTCTTATGGAGTTTGCTGGTGGTCGTATTATGATGTGCAACTAAAGTTATTTTAATTTCCCATAATTATTCTAAAAGTCTTAGAAAGTATAATTTGTGGAAATTCTAAACAAAAAAATAAATATTTTGATATTTTCAGAAGGTCTAACTTGCATTATAATTTATTATTCCAGTTAAAAAAAAATTAGATGAGTTTAACTCAGAGAAATAGAAGGGATAGAGAATGAGCGTCAACATGCGCAGAAGGTCTAATCAAGTTGGGCGCCATATTCCAGGTCTCCGTGTCATTTTGTATATAGGTGGTAATCTATAAGTAATCAAATATCAATTTGCTGTTTTCAACCATACGGGGGGCAATTTAAATTTAGTGAAATTCTATCATTTATTATGGTTAGATAACATTAATATGATTTATTTAATTATCATCAGTTTTAAAACTGCGTACAATATTGGTATATAATATACTAAATATACGAATATTCTGACAAAAGACGCTACGGACAGATGACCTTTTCTTAGTTGTTAAACACTCGAAATGCCATTAAATAAGTATTTACAATTATTTCATGTTTACTTGTACTGAATTACGCGTTTCAATTTAAAATTTTTGCAAATTTGGTAAAAATTGTTCTAAACAACTTTTTGTTCAAGTTGTATATTCATAAAACATTTGGTTCATAATTATTTTTGATGATTACCTTGTATATTTAATATAAACCTAGAAAAAATATGTTTTTGTTTTATTTTTTTTATTCGTCCCTTCAAATTGTGTTACAAAAACTGTTACATAACATGTCCTCTAACAAATATTTTCATAATACATAAACATCAGTGATTTTATTAAGGATATTATTAGTATTTATCCTGGTTTTGTCGACAATAAGAACTCTAAATCTTGTAATAGAACATCAATTTTATATTTCGTAAAATTATTTTGATACAGATTCAATTTGTCAAAATTTAAGTCATTAGTATATTGATAAACAACTCAAATTATTCCTAAGTGTTTTATTATAAAAAAAACTGTTACCGGTAAGTTTGTAAAACACATTATGGTTTGTCTTAATACTAGAAAAAATCATTTATTTTTTGCACAAAAGAAGCTTGCCGATCCTTATTTGTCCATAACCAAATTCTGTATGTACAACATACATATACCTAATTTATTATTAAGAAAATTAGATTATATGATCTCAGAAAGGAATACTAAAAATGTTGACTATAGAACTCGATACTATGTTTGAAAAAGCCTTCATACCTGTAACTGTGCATAAATCTAATTAACTGAATTCTTCTCCTCTTGACACTCTGAACACTGCTGCTGCTAATGTTAGAAATATTTAGCACAAAACTACAACTACCTACAACAAACTTTTCAATAAAAATGTTAAATTTTCGCTCTTCGATTAAAATACCCTGTCTTATGTTTTCTTTTTCTCTAAATAATCTTCTTGTCAAGTAAGGACCAATCTGTTTGCCTGAGTGATACAATATTTGACATATTTCTGGTACACTTGAACTTGTGCTTTCATGGATACTATAAGAGTGCACTGTTTTACAGAAGCACAAACATTGATTCCAAGTATCTTCTTCCTCCACATGTAATAAAAACATCCTCTTCAAATAGCCACATCACACTTGGTTTTTGACCATTCCCAATTACAATCACGATTTTTACAAATCGCCTTTAGGAAAACTAAAAATAAACAGTTTTGGATCATCTGTAAACACGATTCTGTTGTATAAACTTACACATGAAAACTAATCATTTTTCCCGGCGTATTAGCTTTCTTAGAATGACTATGACAATATACAACAAGCCTTTTTGAATTACTGTTTAGAATAATTGTGATAATAATAAATTTTAACTAGATAACAACATAAACGAAAAAAACAAAACAAACAGATGTCAATTAAAGAGGGGAAGTGACAGCGAGACCTGGAAGATGTCTGCCATCTTGCCGTCGACAAAAATTTGGATGCGCACTCGTCGAAGCTCATTCTCCCACTTCCATATCTCTGGTTTAACTACGGTAGCGAGCATAGTTTTATCACTGATTTTTTTATATTGATTAAAAAATATACCATTAATATTGCAAATTATATTTCATCCTCTAGTATATGCCTATTTAATTTTTTGATTATGTAACGAGCACTTTGTTTACTCACTTGTTTCGTCGAACTGTTTGAATCCATTTTTGCTATTGATCAAATCGGTGTAAGAAATTATGAAGCTATAAATGCTGATTCGGGGGAGTTGAATATCCGGGAAAGTCGAGTTATTGAATGTTAATGCACCCAACAACACCCTAATTACACTCTCCTTTACACATTAACATTTTTTTGGGCAATTTTATTAACATTTGAAATTGTCACAATTTTTGACTACCCGAAACAGCGTTACATCACACAAACCTCGTACCTGAGTGTTTTATAGTCTCAATAACTGTACTAGCAAAAAACTAAAATACTTTTTACGATTTCAATAATATTTTAATGCGATCAATACGAACTGTCATCGGAAGGGTACACACATGAAATATGTACTGATAATTTCTGATTTCTGCCGTTGAAGCGCTGCGGTCGAAATTTGTTGAAATCAACTGAAATGCACCAAGCTTATAATATTTCTTCTGTCGAGCGCATCTGACGTAAGCCACAATAAAAAATATTTTTAACACAACGCAGGTTAAAAATAAAACCTAAATATCTGCAGATTAGTTTTTAGGCAGTAATTATGACAACATAAGCTTCCAATCAATCAATCAGCGTTTTTTCCCGGTTACTAACGTGGGGAATTTAATTTCCCTTTCCTGGAAGATCCCAATCGGGATTAACGAGTTGCCCTCACCCTTTTTTTGCCTTACTTTATTGAATTTATCGGGATACTTCAACAGGAATTATTGTTTCAGCAGCCGGAACGTGTGAAGAAACCCTTAGGAGAAAAGGAAAGTGGAAAGAAAACTGAGCAGAGGCCAAAAGAAAATTCGCAATATGGGAAAAGGAGATAAACTGAGGAGGGGGAGGAGTGATAGTGGTAAGTAGATTTCTGTTTGTTTTTTTTTCTTCGTATGATCGATAAAAATACAGGGTGGTCCGAACTGTGTTCCGGAAACGGCGACAGCATATTCTGCAGATAAAAATAAGTAAAAAAGTGGCTCAACTTTCGTTTAGCTGAAATCTGTTATTTAAAAAATGACTTTATATATGCTTTCTAGAAGGCGTTAGGAGTACAAATATACAAAAATTTTCCTGCGGAAATGCGTCATTTTCATTTTTCGGACTTTAGTATAGCCGAAATCTGTTACATCAAAACTAGTCTTCGGGGTGTGTTTTAGACATTTTTCTAAACATAAAAACACTAAAAAGTATCTGCGGAAATTTTTTATTTTTATTTTACATAAAAAATACTTTGACTTTAGAATAGCCGAAATCAGTTACATGAAAAATTAACTTATATTTGTTTTGTACGAGCAAAGAAATACAAAAATAATTCCTGCGGAAATGTGTCAATGTCATTTTGTGCACTTTGTTTTTCATACATTTTTCAGTTTAGAAGCTTACGGGACCCGGGAGCGAATAGGGGTGCTGGGTGGGGTAAAACATCTCTCGGAGGAATAACAATTCTTGTAGAATAGATAATAGGTTCTTGTAACACCCCCCTATAAGTACCTCGGAATGTTGCACTTATTCTTGTTTTTTATTAAAGCTTTACATAAATAGGGCTGATTCAAAACAAAAAATCATTGGATCAGGCAGTTTTCTTTTATATTTTAATAATTAACAGTGATTTTGCAAAAATATTAGATTGGTTAGCATTTGGGTTGCTTTGGTTAGCTTTTCTTTGTGGAGGGTGTTAAGCTGTGGTTTTTATATTTTAATAATTAACTGTGATTTTTCAAAAATATTATTAGATTGGTTAGGATTTGGGTCGCTTTGGTTAGCTTTTCTTTGTGGAGGGTGTTAAGCTGTGGTTTTTATATTTTAATAATTAACTGTGATTTTTCAAAAATATTATTAGATTGGTTAGGATTTGGGTTGCTTTGGTTAGCTTTTCTTTGTGGAGGGTGTTAAGCTGTGGTTTTTATATTTTAATAATTAACTATGATTTTGTAAAAATATTATTAGATTGGTTAGCATTTTAGACACTTTTAAATGAACCTTTAAAAAAGGTGTCTTGAAAAATTGAATGATCTTCAAAAAAGTTCTGATATGAATTTTCATTTAATCGACTCGTTTGAAAGTTATTGAAGGTTAAAGTTCAACTTCAAATCGTATATGATACCTTTCACAATTTTTTTATATTTTGTCACCAAATAATGGCTCACAAACACAAAATATGATACTTTGTGTTTTTAAGCCATTATTTCGTAATAAAATACATTACAATCAAAAAAAAAGACCATACCATAACTTGGTATACTGATGCTTCCAAAACCAATACGGGAACAGGGATCGGAGTGTTTGGGCCGAGAACTAATTACTCCGAACCAATGGGCACTTACCCTAGTATCCTACAGGCAGAAATCTACGCTATCGAGAGATGCGTACAACTTATCTTAGATAGGAACTACCGGAAACAAGAAATAGCCATCTTGTCTGATAGTCAAGCAGCGTTAAAGGCGATCAACTCAGTATCAATCAATTCGAAATTGGTCAAAGAATGCATAGAGAAGCTGAATAAATTAGGCAAAGAAAACAAAGTCCTCCTACACTGGGTGCCTGCTCACCAAGGGATAGAAGGCAATGAAAAAGCAAATAATCTAGCTAGGAAAGCAGCGAACACTCCACTAACTGAACCAGAACCGTTCTGCTTTCCAAGTGGTAACCAACTCAAGGCGGAACTCAAGAACTTGGAAGATTCCATCCGCAACCTGGAATGGAAATTTTCCAATGGTCTAAGACACTCGAAGAAGTTTCTGAGGGCTTATGATGAAGAAAAATCACAGATCTTCCTGGGTCTGAGTAAGAACAATCTTCGGATTGTCACGGGGTTTTTAACAGGACACTGTCTCCTCAACGAACACCTCAGTAGATTGAAACTAAGAAGAAACGGCGAATGCAGATTCTGTGGGGAAGATGGGGAAACACCAGTACACCTCATCACTGAGTGCGCCGAGATGACAACCATTCGTGCCATGAATTTTGGTACGACTGATATTGGAGATGGAGAACTACCCTCTATAAAACCGTCCCAGATACTGGCTTTTGTCAAAGCCCTGGGACTGTATGATGAGTTATGATTCCAGAAAGGGGGACACAATGGATCTGTAAGGTCGAAGTGATTAACCCCCCTCCCACTCATTCTAAATTCTAAAAAAAAAAAAATACATTAGCGTAGCTAGCAATTTATCCTGGGGCGGGCCTGGGGGCCTGGGGTTGAGCCCAGGGAGGGACTAGGGCTTTTTTTTTAAATGAAAAATAATTTTAAAAAACACATTTTTTGAATAAAACGTTTACATGAATTTTTCTATCAATAAATTTCATAGACTTGGTTATCAAGCCTAGCCGTGTTCCCGTAGATTACTTAAATACCTACAAATTTTCTAAAAAAAATAAAAATTAACTCATTTTTTGAACACAACAAAATAATATTAACTAAACAATACTAGAAAACGTCATTTTTATGCTGCATCACAAGCAAATAAAAATTAATACGTAGCCTAGAGTCATAATTCAGGATATCTCTGGGGGGTGCCCAGAAGTTAGTACCAGGGGGGGAGGCACCCCCTGGCACCCCTCTAGTTACGCCAATGACAAAATATGATATTTTATGTTTATGAGCCATTATTTTGTCATAAAATACTTAAAAAAACATTGGGGAAGTTATCATATATACGATTTGAAGTTGAACTTTAACCTTCAATAACTTTCAAACGAGTCGCTTAAATGAAAAATCATGTCAGACCTTTTTTGAAGACCGTTCAATTTCCAACAAGAATATGTATTGACTTTTAAAATACTCTGATTGGTTAGAAGGCAATAAAATTCCAAAAAAAATAACAATATATTTTTTTAATTTTCTCTAAAACGGTATGGAAATTTGGAAAGTATAAACTAGTGGAGTGCCAAGAGACTTTTACCTCGGAATTCAATTACTGTGAATGTATTAATATGAAACCTTTTGTATTGTATTTTATAGATAAAATGCTAAAATGTTTACCCATTTCTTTTCCTTGCCTTTAATTTTTGATTTTAATAATTTTAGTAAATTCGCGAGATTCCCCGGCGGCTCTCAAAATGTCGCAATTTTTTTTTTAAACTTTCAAAGTTAAATAACTCGGTTATTTTCAATCTATTTTAAAAATGGTAAAGAGAAAATATGTTTCTTTTGGCCAGATCTACCACCCCTTAAAATATCTGCACTCATTTCTGGGACACCCTGTATATACGACTCGGTTTTTGCAAGGAGAACAAAAGTTTGTATTGAAGTGAAATTTTGTGAGCTTATGTAAGCCAATTTAAAGCATTTTCTGAAATTATGTAGAGTTCTACAGGGTGTCCCCAAAAAAAGTTACACATCAAAGTTATGTTTTTTTTAATGAAACACCCTATATATTAATTGATTTTTGGATTCTAGTAAAAAAATGAAGGTTTGTTTTATTAGAAAAGTATATGGCTAAAATGTATAGTTTTTGAAATACATTCCCCGGCATGAAAAATAGGCACCTTAAAACTTTGATGTATTTTAAAGGTTAATATATTTTGTTTTAATGGGTCGATTTTGATGATTTTTTAAGCAGTGTGTAGCCAAATTATTTGACTTTTTAGTATCTTTTTATAAATTAAAAATGAAACTCTCCATCTGTTAATTATACGAGGGCAAAAAAATGTTGATATTTTGGTGAAAGTTTAAAAAACACGTATAATAAGATTTGCTTCATTCAATCTTCTTTTTATAGTCCGTTAGCTAATATCTACGTTCCTTATGTGCAATTCATTATTAATTTGAAAAGCTGGCAAACAGCGGTTTCTTAGCGATAAACTTACAATAAATCGATCGTCTTGATTAGAAGTTCTCATACGAAGGTTCCTGGACGTCTAGATTGACGTCCTCAAAAACCACTTAGTATACTCTATGGTATTAAGGTATTTTTGGAACCGGAATTTTATAGCAAATTCACTGAACTAAGCAAATATAAATATGTATTTGACTCACCCTGTATATCTATAAAAATGTTTTTGAAATGTGAACTACCAAACTACTACACATATTTTGTAAAAGGTTTGGAGTGAAAATCTCAAATAGGAATCCTGATACAGAGCTTTTCCAAAATGTTTTATAAAAATTCGTTCACAGTAAATGAATTCCGAGGTTTTTATCCCATAAGGGCTTAAAGCACTCCACTAAACGGGATTAACCATTTTTGAACAAACAAACATTTTTATGAAGAATGCATTTTTCTCAAAATGTCAACAATAAAAAAGTTTTTTCTCTTGTAAAGACAATGCGGAGAAATAGGTACTGTATATTTGAACGAATTAAAGCATATAACGAATAACGACCATAAGATTAAAAAAAACTCCCTTAGGTTTCTAATTGACATTTAAGCCTCACTCTAAACGGAGAAGATGTTTAGAATAGTTGACCCGAACTCTATACTGGATAACTTCCCTAGGCCCAAATAGTTCAAATCCTTGCAATCCTTAAAGGGCCAGGAGCCATCTCCAGCTTGTCCCTAAAGATCCCTTCCGGAATTAGCCTTGATGGGATTTGGCAGGAAGGCAAAAAAGGCCTACTTTGGTCAAAATTTGTTGAAGGTTTGGCCCATATTGACTTAGAATAAAAATAAACAGTGTTAAATAATAAAGACTGTTTTTGTCAAATTTACTTTTTAGGGTGTGTCTGAGATCAGTTCATATTTTTCAGTACATATTTTTTTAATAGATAATAAGTAAAGAAATGAACAACAAATTATGACTGAGACCGAACAATAAATAGTATTTAAAGCTCAAGTTACCAAAATAAATCAGTTAAAACTAGGTATTTCTTTTTTTTATTAAATTTACTTTTATACAGGGTGTTTCAAAATGCAA